GACGATTTTTTACATATGTTGCTAAAAATTAATAATTAGTGATTTTTTTATCATGATTTTTATAAATTATAGCTAAAATTTACAATTAATGACTTTTTTTATAATAAATTTATTTTAGAAGACTTATTAAACAAAAAATTCATTTATTAAGATTTACACGTAAACCCCCCTAAATGGTGCTTTTTGTGTTGATTGAAATAATGAATCTTACTATTTACCTGTTTCCTTTAGAAAGACAAAGTGCACTTGTTCAAATTTAAATGACGTGTAATAATATTTCTGAAATAATGAATAATTTTGTCATGATATTAGAGATTTTAAAAATTTATTAAAATTTTTATGAAATATCTCATATAAATATAAAACTCACACAATATAAATTCCGTGTAAATCCTGCATTCATATAAAATATTTAATAAAACTTTTAAGCCCTAGATTTTTGTTTTTTCACAAAAACGCTATCGTCCCCATATTCAAAACTTACGTGCCACTTTGACTTTGTACGTGTCGCGAGGCCGTGCCTTTCCCAAATGAAATTAATGACTCACTCATTCCTTATTTTTTTAGATAGATAATGTTAAAGATGTTAAATTTTTTATTAAATAAATAATTAAATATTTTATATAGGTGTAGCATGGATCCCATATTTATGTGAGATATTTGATTATTTATTTGATAAATAAATATTTTACATTGGTGTGATATGGACTCTACACCTACGTGAGATATTTGATTATTTATTTGATAAATAAATATTTTACATTGGTGTGATATGGACTCTACACCTACGTGAGATATTTGATTATTTATTTGATAAATAAATATTTTACATTGGTGTGATATGGACTCTACACCTACGTGAGATATTTGATTATTTATTTGATAAATAAATATTTTACATTGGTGTGATATGGACTCTACACCTACGTGAGATATTTGATTATTTATTTGGTAGAAAAAATTTAATATCTCTAAAAAAAAAAAAAAGACAGAGAATTAGACCATGTTTGGTCTGATTTTTGGCAATATGTTTAAAAAAATTTATGTAAAAAGTTAAAAATTAGTTTTGTGAAAAGAAAATATCAAAAGTATTTATTATTTTTATATAATTTTATTTTTTGGAAGATATAAATAATTTAAAAAATTTTAAAGATATATTTGCAATATTTATTTTTATCAAAATAATTTCTTTCTTTTAAAAAAAAATCAATAAATTATTTAAAAAAATCAAACCAAATATGACCCTAAAGCATTATTTAGCAACCCAACTCAGTACGATGTCAACCAGAAGCATTGGTCTTGTACCATTATTAATTTTCCATCAAAATCGTATCAATTGGGTTAGACCCTGGCCTTGTTTGGTAGGGTTTATTTTTATTTTATTTTAATTTTTAGCTTAATTTAAGTTATTTTGATGTGTTTAGTTCAGCTTAACAATATAGTTTATAACTTTTTGTAAGTTAAAAATCAACTTATTATTTGAGTGGGGGAGGAGAAATTTAATTTATAAGTCAAAAATCAACTTATGTTCACAATTATAAATTATAAATTGTTAGGTTATAAGTTATAATTACTTTCTTACAGCTCTACCAAACAAGGCCACTGACCTGATTTGAATATGGCTTTTCAACATAAGAAAATATGACAAAATCAAGTGGTGACCCATAATATTTGTGATCTGTAAAACGTACATTTACAATTTTGTGATGAATTATGAAATTTAATAAAAAAATATAATATATTTTGATTGGTTGCTAAGATGAGTCATGTGATGCCTCTTAAGGGCATTGGATAATTTTCCACATAAATTTGTCCAAATAAGAGGTTAGAGCCGAACTAGAAACTTCACATAGACAAAAGAAAATAAAAAGGGGGAGGCTTTTATTGTTGCATCTCTATGGACTCATTATAAAATTTATATTGATAATTTAAATCTTTAAATGCATAAAATTTGTAAGATAATTTATTTTTGTAAAAAATTATATTAATCGGATATCGATAATTATTTAATTAGATCATACATATGCGAACGATAAGTATAATTTTGAAAATAAATTACTGAGACAATTATGACTTGATCAAGTGATTATCAATATCCGATTAATGTAATTTTCTTTACGGATGAAATACTCGACAAACCCTATATATTCAACGGTTTGAATTTTTGATGCATACTCCGTGATGGACCCACAGAAATCCAACAACACCTTCCAATTAAAAAAAATTAAAGAAAAGGGGGTCAAAATCAGTCCACATTGCATTTTGAACCCGGAACTAAAAATATAAGCTAAAATTATTATAATAAGGCCCATTCAAGATAAGTGATGTTAACAACCATATTTAAAAAATTAAAGTGAGGATAATATTTAAATAATTAAAATTTTAATATATTTTTGTAACTTAATTTTTCTTAGAAACTCTCATTTATGATCTCATAATAAATCTATTTCAATGATCTATTTATTTATTTATTTTATTAATAATCTCTATACTAAATTCAAATTAATTCGTATCCATTACACGTAATTAAAGTATACATTAATCACCCTTGAATACGCTTTGATTAGCATTTCATTTTTCCCATTTTAAGATTAGCTTTGACAAACCTTGCTTCATTTGCACAAAGAAGGGGGGAAATGTGCTGTCTTGCCACCTAAGATTGATGATGTCTAATCAGAGTGTATTATCATTGACACTTGTCTAATTTATGTTTTAAGAGAAATAAAGACGTTACTACTGACAAATATTTTATTTTACTTTTAAAAAAAACTAATATTTAGGCCTCGTTTGGGATGCTACTTTTTTAGTCAATTAGCTAAAAAGTTACTAAATTAACCAATTAATTATACCAAAAAGTTAACAATTACGGTTTCTCTTTGCTTTTTACACAGCTTTTCGTAATTAGTCAAAAAGTCATCCCAAACATACAAATTTTTTTTACCTACTTTTTTAGCCAATTAGCTAAAAAATTACTAAATTAGCCTGTTCCCAAACGAGACCTTAGAAGTAAAAAAAGAGAGAGTGAAAATGATTTTTGTTTGCAAAAATTAGCATAGGCTCTCTTAAAACAGTTTCACGTTAAATCAATTATAATAATTTTTTTATGGTTAAATTTCTCTATTGAAATAATAATAGATAATTTTTTATTACTTGTGTTGATAACAATAAAATCTCACTATTCAACTACATAGAAATTACTCTATATTCAACTTTTATTTATTTATTAATTATTATTACTATATAGCACTGTTTCTCCGACCATGTGTGTACTATATAGAAGAAGGAAAATATTATGAATCTTAAATAAATTATCAAATTTTCTACAAATCTCTCGCATGGGTGTGGGACCCACACAAACTACATATGTGTAGGTTTTACACCCATGTGAGAACTTTGGTAGAAAATTTAGTAATTTATTTGGAATCCTTAACATAACTCATAGAAAAACTGTAATTTTAAAGATTTTTTCTATTCATTAAATGCGCTTGAGGAGTAAAATAATAATAGATAATTTTTTATTATTTGTGTTGATAACAATAAAATTTCACTATTCAACTACATAGAAATTACTCTATATTCAACTTTTATTTATTTATTAATTATTATTACTATATAGCACTGTTTCTCCGACCATGTGTGTACTATATAGAAGAAGGAAAATACTATGAATCTTAAACAAATTATCAAATTTTCTACAAATCTCTCGCATGGGTGTGGGACCCACACAAACTACATATGTGTAGGTTTCACACCCATTTGAGAACTTTGGTAGAAAATTTAATAATTTATTTGGAATCCTTAGCATAACTCATAGAAGAACTGTAATTCTAAAGATTTTTTCTATTCATTAAATGCGCTTGAGGAGTACATATAATATAGAATGACATGATAATTTATAATTTTATTATTTTTAAATAAAAGATTTATCAAGATAGCTTATATAGTTTCACTTCATCATTCTTGTTACAAATTATATACAAAAATTTTATAAACATATAGGTTCTGTTTGATTTAATTTTTGAAATGAGATTTGAATTTTGTTTTGAAAGATAAGTTGTTTAAATGAGTTTTGAAATAAAAGATAAATTGTTTAAATGAGTTTTATTTTCAAATAAAAGATTTATCTACCCTGCCATCTTTTTAATTTTTATGTTAGTTCACCCATGTCCAGGGACGGAATCAGAATTTCATTATCGGAGGGGGTCAAAAAAATAATAATTTTTTTACTATATATACAAATACACATGTATGTACCATATGATATATAAATTGTATATATACATAAAAAAAAAATTATATACCATAAAAACAATCTCTAATGGGATAAATAAGTTTTGTTGGTGGAAAATAGAAAGAGAATGTAAGATGAGAAAATAATAAAAGATATATATTTTTTATATTAAGAGGCTATTTTACGTATAAAATAATATATATATTTTAAAAATACTATAACAAACAATATTTTTTATAGAAACAAAAAATTCATTACTCCTATAATCTCTCTTAATTTCGTCCCTGCCCACCACCAAACTCCAACCTAACATTATCACTTATTTCATTTTTATTTTTATTTTTTCTCACCCTCTAAAACTCTCTCACTGCCCCGCCCATTCCACGATCATTACAATATGTCACACTTTAAATAAACTTAATCATCCATTACTTTTTAAAATAATTTTTATGCACTCAATATCATTAAATAAAGAAAAATATCAATTAATGAATAGTGTCACACTTCAAATAAATTTAAACTAGGAAAAATTGTAATTCAATATTATATATTTTAAAAAATATTTTTTTGTGATTTGTAATTTTTTTTAAAATTATATATATATATATATTTTTTATTTAAAAAAAATAAAAATAAAGGAGAAAGGCCGGTTAACAAAATTGCCAATTGTTTAACACAATTTAATGAGAAGGTGACAAACAAACAGAGCCAAAATCCAAAACGGCTCGAAAAAAGTTCTAAAAATTTCAAAGGGCACCTTCGTCAGGTGTGACCCATCGCAAGGAGCCTAAAAAATTGCAGTGATGGCGCGTGTCATCGCAACAGACTCACAACCGTCTTTATGATAACCCGACGCTTGTTTCCCATTTTCCTTCTCTCTCCTTTCTCTCTGTTTCTCTCTCTGTTTTCTCATAGATATCATTATTGAATGTTCTTCTTCTTCTTCTTCTTCTTCTTGATATGTGACTGAATGAGCTGATATGGTGATGGGTATGTCATCCACTTGGGGAAAAGGAGAGACCAACAACAACAATAAAAACAATGGTAATTATGATTACTCTTTCAAGGTACTGTTGATTGGTGATTCAGGTGTCGGCAAGAGTAGTCTTCTTCTCAGTTTCATCTCTAACTCTAATAAAGACCTTCAAGATCTCTCTCCCACCATTGGTACACCTCTTTCTCGCTCTTTCTCTCTCTCTATACACACATATATACAAACAAACACATGGGTGTGTGTGGGACTTGATTCTTCTTGGTTTATGAATATTTGTAGTTGGTTCTTCAATAAACATGGTTTAAATTCTGGGTTTATGACAATTTTCAGTAGAACATTTGGAAAATTTGATTTAGTTGCAATTTTCTGTGTTGGTAGTTTTAAAGTGAATTGAACTGACATAAACAGGGGAATCAAATTTGATTGCTCAGTTTTTGGGTTGGCAAATAATGGAAGTACACCTCATGCATGCCTGTGTAATGGTTCTTGGGCATTTTCGTTCATGATGGTTGCTGAGGATCATCGCTGGCTTCTTTATGATTTCAAATTTGAATTGTCCATTTGGGAATCATAAGTTTCTGAAAGGGTTTTCTCATATTGGGATAATTCATACTTTCTTGATTCTGTCTGTTTGTTGTTTTATTTCAATTAAAATACCAGAAGGAAAACTCTTTAAGAGATTAGATTTTTTTTTAATTTTTTTTTTTGTTGCTGAAAATGATTCATATTCACTTAACTCAACCTCTCAGAATATTTGAATGGGTGCTTAGGGAGATAGACGGAATTAATATTGTTGTTAAGAGCAACCCCTAAAAAGAAAAGAAAAGAAAAGAAAAAAAGGAAAAGATAGAATAATGTACGTTATATTTCTATCGCTTGACATGATTGTTGGGACATATATTATGCAGAGACTTCATACGAATTAGTATGTTATTACAATTTGTAAATTCCATTTTGGTGATTTGGTTTGGATGATCTATATGTTCAGCATCAGCAATGCAGAGCTCATGTACACTCAGAGTTGCATTTCGCTAATTTGCAGCATTAAGCAGGACAGTAGATTTCAGGGGGCTTTAGCATTGGTATCAGTAGCAATATGCTTTCTAATTATGTAAGAAGGCTTTGCTATCTTAATGGGCACTTTACTGACATAGAATATGCAATACATCCTAGATATACTTGGCATTCTCTAGAAGTTACCTTCTATTGGATCTCTATGCCTCACAATTTTTTATCCACTTGCGTTTTTTGAACTTCAATGCAACAATTTGACTTAGAAATGTAGTTTCTTTTTGCTCGTTTAGCTAATATAGTTTTCATGTGAAGAATGTAAATGATATAAACTGAAAAATTAATGTGCACTTTATTTTTCTTTTGATGGGCTTTACATTTTTTTTTTTGAATTCATTAAATATTGAGCTTAAAGTCCTTGCTATGACCATTTCCAGGTGTGGATTTCAAGATCAAGCTGCTAACAGTTGGTGGAAAAAGACTGAAACTTACGATTTGGGACACAGGTAATTAACATAGATGACTTGTTATTTGGAACTATTTTGTTTATTCAGTGTGGAAAATTTCTTGGATCCCAATAGTAGAATATGCAATACATCCTAGATATACTTGGCATTCTCTAGAAGTTACCTTCTATTGGATCTCTATGCCTCACAATTTTTTATCCACTTGCGTTTTTTGAACTTCAATGCAACAATTTGGCTTAGAAATGTAGTTTCTTTTTGCTCGTTTAGCTAATATAGTTTTCATGTGAAGTATGTAAATGATATAAACTGAAAAATTAATGTGCACTTTATTTTTCTTTTGATGGGCTTTACATTTTTTTTTTTTGAATTCATTAAATATTAAGCTTAAAGTCCTTGCTATGATCATTTCCAGGTGTGGATTTCAAGATCAAGCTGCTAACAGTTGGTGGAAAAAGACTGAAACTTACAATTTGGGACACAGGTAATTAACATAGATGACTTGTTATTTGGAACTATTTTGTTTATTCAGTGTGGAAAATTTCTTGGATCCCAATAGTATTTCCCCCTCATACACGTTACACGTAACAAATTTTTTAGTTTTTTCTGGGATGTTTTTGTTATAAATCTGACTCAAGGCAGGAATGTTTCTTTTTTGGTACTGGTTTTCATTTTCACAGTAACCTGGCTTGTTAAGCCTTTTTAAGCTATTTTTGGGTTTGAAAGGAAAAAAGCCTATAAATGGTGGCTTTTCGGCTTTCTTACACAATACTTCAATGAATTTTTGAATTTTACAAATTGTCCTTGAGCAATATAATAAAAACTGCGGTTAGGTAATCTAATGTTCCGTAAATGATTTTTTGAGCAGTTTTTTTACACGTGAAACGGCTAAAACAGTTGCTGAAATAGCTACTTTCAATACCAAAACACTACAACTGCCTTTATGAAAAGTTGAGATAAAAAATAACTGCTGAAGTGTTTGTGCAAGTTCGAGTGGTTTCAGAGTTGTGGAAGGAGAGCCCTTGAATTAGATATTGACATGTATCTATCCTTCAAAACAGAAACACAAACAACAACTTAGAATAGCTTTTTTCTGGACAAGCTTTACAGAACTTATATTATTCAATATTCAGATATGAGGCTATTAAATTTTTTGGTTTGCAGCTGGACAGGAGAGGTTTGGAACATTGATAAGCTCTTACTATAGAGGTGCACATGGAATTATTCTCGGTAAGATATTTGCAAATGCAGAAAATGTTCATTCCAGTGTCATTTATGTGATAGTTATACTTTTGAAAGTATATTTTTGACAGTATTTCACCTGGAATTGTTCTGATTTTTTTTTGGGTAACACATGAATTCTTTTGAAAATTTCTGCTCTGTCACATGCTGCTTCTTTTCAATCAATTTAAATAGTTTTAATTGTTGATGCTATGTTGTCATCTTTTCTCTACCTTCTGTTTAAGCAAACACTTTTGTGTTTACCTTTTGTTTTAGTTTATGATGTAACACGGAGAGAAACTTTTACGAACTTGTCGGAAATATGGGCAAAGGAAGTAGAGCTTTACTCCACAAATCAAGATTGTGTCAAGATACTAGTTGGGAATAAAGTTGATAAGGTAAGTTGCATGGTTTATTCTTCCGTATATTTCTCTGACAGGTGTTACACATGCATACTTGCATATATGCACTGAAGATGAGGATTTTGACAATGCACATTACACTTTATTTTCAGGAGGGTGAAAGGGCTGTAAGTAGAGAAGAGGGAATGGCTCTTGCACAGGAGCATAAGTCCTTGTTTCTTGAATGCAGCGCTCAAAAAAGAGAAAATGTGCAGCAATGCTTCAAGGAGCTCACGCTTAAGGTAGACTCTTCAGAAGGGATGCTTTTTCTTAGCTGTCATGTTAAATCCGTGCATGATCTAGTAGTTTCTAAATTTTTGTAATGCTCCATTATCAAGACAAAACATGTTGTACCGTAGTTCTTTACAAGATTGCATTTGGACAAACTCAAGATTGCCCTGTTTGGAGCACCTATGATCACAATTCAAGTTACTAATTTTCCAATGTAATGTGTCACAAAACTGAACATTTCTTCAGTGTCCTTGTTTTTCCCCTCCAAAAAACAAGGATTAATTTTTCCAATAATATCTAGTTTTTGCAAGATATTTTGCAAAACAAGCCAATTTAGTCACCATTGATGGGGGTTTGGAAGGGGTATATTCGGTACAAAATGTGGGAGAAATTTTGTAGGTTTGGTACATGAGCACTTCATCTTGGTGATAAATTTTCAGCTTGATAACAAGGGACTCCATTTGGTTTAGTTTTGAAAATCAATTTTGAAAGATAATTTTTTTGAAGGGTTTGTAAAATTTAAAAACTTGTTTGGTTATATATTTTGAAAATAGTTTTGGGATGATTTGTAGTTTTTTTTGTAGTTGAATAGATAGGTGTGAGAGAAAATTGATTGATTGATGTGTAGAATGTAAGAGAATGAGAGAGGAGAGAGGAAAAGTGATCGATTGATATGTAAATAAAAAAAAAGAGAGAGAAGGAGAGAGGAAAGAGAAAATAATTTTGAAAACAATTTTCTCTCATTGTAAACCAAACATGTTTTTGGATTTTTCAATCCAAAAGTTGATTTAAAAATTAAACCAAACACAATTAATTTTCTTCCTCTTTGTGAAAGTCTTAAATCTTGGGCAATTTGTGTTTGAACTGCCCTTGAAAATACAGTAAAAAGACAAAAATGTTAGTAAGTCATGTAGTTAATAAGGGGTTGTCTGGGATGACTTAAATAAGTATACTTTTTGTCTTTTTACGAAAAGATGTGCAGAAAAGTAGAGAGGTGATGTGATGGAAAAAAAATAAAAAGATAGATTATTTTGTGTATGCCAAACTTGGCCTAAGTCATAATAATTGTGTTTGCCTTTGTAATATAGAATCTTAATATTTATTGATTTCCTGCTCTTGGAATAATACATGCGATGCTACAAAAGCAATAACTTGGTAGTTGCTACTTTTCTATCTCATCAAAAGGGGTATAACAAATGGCTGTTTTACCAGTTAAAACCACATGCGGTTAATGAAAACCAGAATGTAACTTTAGATCAAAATTCTTTATACCTACAATAAAATGCAAACCACATGTGCTCATTGCATTTCGCTTTATATCGTCAAATGTAACTTAACGATTTTACTGGTTTGATTTGTTGCTTGAACATGTTCTAACCAAATTCATACTAGTTTACAGATACTGGACATCCCTAGTTTGTTGGAGAAAGGATCTGCAGTTGTAAGGAGACAAATTTTGAAACAGAAGCATCGAGGGGGCCAAGTGTCACGTAGTGGGAATTGTTGCTCTTAGTGGAAATACTCCGAAATGGAGGTCCCAGTGCCAGTTGCTTACTAGCACGACTTGTAATCAAACAGCATAGATGACAAAGTTCCTAACCTTGTTGGAGCCCTTGTCATATTTTGGAAGAAAAGTCATGTAATCCTTAGTAGCTTATATACATACATACCTACTGTTCTTTCATTTGTTGAATCTTTGCTCAACCCTATAACAATTCATGATGTTTCGGATGGTTGGGGACATCTGATAGGAAAACAGAGTGGTGAAATATGGTCTTGTACATAATGTTTTGTAATTTATATGGTCAAATACATGATATATACAGATCATGCTTAAAAAATAGGGAAATTAATGGCTTTGTTTCTTTCACACTTGGCTTTGGTTTTGCTTGCTTGTTCATATGGATTACATTTATTTATTTATTTATATTTTTCCCTTAAAATTTTCGTAGATTAAGGAAAGAGCTTGATGCTATATATTTCTATCAGAAACTATTTCTTTCTGATTAATGGAAAAATGATCTTAGAGCTGATGATGGTAAATGGATATTCTGAAATATAAGTCAACCATTGGTATGAAGACTTGAGCTGGCACTCTGGGAGGTCTATAGAACAAATAATGGTATCTTGTGACATGAAAGTGGACTGCAAGTCCTAGGGGTAGTCAAGTAATTATCAGGTGACCACCAAAAAGAAAACCATGTACATGGTTTTGGACTTTGCATGATTTTTTATTTTTTGATATCGATTCACTCCGTCATCTAATACAAGACCTTATGAATAAACTTTAAATTCTGCATCTTTTCCTTTACGTTGAATCTTAATTTGGTTCATCATTTTTCAATTAAAACAGTTATTCTTTAAACTTTCGTTCAAGTTGCAATGCGATATTTTCGTTAACTCTCTGTTAAATTTTCTAACGGAAATTGACATATGACTCACAAAACAATATTTTTTGAGAACAAAAATGTAGATTTTTTTTCATTTCCTTGACTGTAATTTCTCTTTGCTCTTTCTCTACTATATTTTCTAAACCCACCACCATTGAACCACCCTACGATCATTTTTCTGCAACCTTCACTCCTTCCGACCATCCATGGCCACCCCATCCCATCCCTTTCCCATCGGCTCCCAACCTGCCATCACCGCCCCCACCTTTCCCATTGGCTAACTGAAGTTTTTATGTGGGTATAACTTTCAATAAATGTGTGTTAGGCTCGGATGTTATGCAAGGTACAGACTCTTCAGTTACTCTTCAACAAATTAGACCTTGAAGTTGCGTACCCGTAACAATTTCTCAGTTATATAATGGGAGAGATTTAGATATTATATTGTATTTGTATAACAAAAATCAAACTTGCATAACAATACAGATGACATTATAAATATATACATGCCATGGCTAGACTCTACTAGGTCTACAGGTTGATCAAACCAAGGCCAATGCTATGTATCATATATATGAATATCAAACAACAAGATGTTTCCTTAATCAATCCAGAGTCGGCATATGCCGTTGAAGGGCATATCAACACTTCCATTGTTATTTCCTCCTGATGTATTTTTTTTTTGTGTAAGTTATACTAATGCTTCCTATAATTTCTCTTATGTCAATTCGATTATTGCATAAAATTTTCTATTAAATTTTTGTTGGCGTGTCAATTAGTCCAATTGATAACATACGTTAAGAAATTGAATAAATTTATGTCAATATGTTAAGAAATTTTTTCCATTGACACCACCATCGATCCCATTCGTTTAGACAATCTGTATGTCACTATGATGAAATCATCACTTCAATTTTCCATTCGGTTATGTTCTCTTTTCAATTCTTTGTGTGTTTTTAAAAACAAAAAACAATGTAGAATTTTGAAAATTTATGACACAGGTGATCACCATCAATGGGATGTTCCCAGGGCCTCTGATCAATGCTACAACAAACGATATGGTCCATGTTAATGTCTTCGACAATCTTGAGCCCTTACTTTTAACATGGTGTAGTATTATTACATATAAGCTATGTCTATTCATGAAAAACTTTAAGGTATACATAAACAAAACATGAGTTAGGTCCTATACTTTTTTGAGAGAGTTACATCTGATTCCGTGATTAGCTTTTATGTAAGTTGTTGGACCATTTTAATATGTTATATTTATTTATTGATTTATCTTTTTCATAAATGGGATTTCATTACTTTGGTAACCTCTTGGTCATGAATGGAGATTAAATAGAATTCATGAACTTGGTTAATGGTCATTATTTTGGTATGACCATTTTCTCTTATTTAATGGTCATTATTTTTTGGTGTAACTGTAAGGTCATAGTGGCCTATAAATAGTCCCTCTCATCTACTCTTTTCTACACCACTAGCACATCAACTATTTTCTATAGAAGAGAGATAACTACCAAAGAAAGGTGTTTTTATTGGTGGAGCTTTGGGTTCACCACCTTGTGCAGAGTTGGCATGAACTGTACGACAAGTGGTCGGGCTGTTGTATCTTGGAGGGGATAAGTCATAATTTTGTGACTGCTGCGTCGGTATTTGGATTCTTCTTACCGCAGTGGGCTTGATCTCCTTAAAGAAAATGAGATATCCGTGCCTCACCCTGATCTATTTGTATCTCATTTTCTTTGCATCATTTATCAATAAAATATAATTTTTTTTTGGTATTTTCACCAACAATTTTAAGGAGATCAAACATGGAGCAAGTGTCAGAAAAAATCAATGATGGAATTGGAGATCTCAACAAGCCTTTCAAGTTCAAAGGAGTTCATTTTAAGAGTTGGAAAGGAAAAGTTCTTTTTTACCTTAGCCTTTTGAAAGTTGCATATGTTCTTACCGAAAAGAATCTAAACAAAATCCCAACCGAGAAGATGAATGATGAAGACTACGAGGCACATGAAGCAAAAGTGGCTTCCTATAATACAGATGAGTATAAATGTCGTTTTTATCTCTTAAATTGCTTTGCTGATTAATTTTATGATTATTACTATGACACCACTTACACTTTGTCTTCTATTAATTTTTGGCATGTTCGCTTGTGTCATATAAATAGCAAATATGTGGGAATCACGAGTAGTTTAGGATTAATTCAAGTGACAAAAAATTTTGAGAAATGTGAAGTTTGCAGTAAAGAAAATTATCAAGAGGCCTCATAAAAGTGTTGAAAAAAATACCGAATTGCTAGAATTATTTCATACTGATTTGTGTGAGTTTGAAGGAATTTTAACTCGGGGTGGTAACCGATATTTTATCACTTTTATTGATGATTTTTCAAAATACACAAACGTATATTTATTAAAAACTAAAGGTGATGCTTTTGAGAAATTTAAAGAATTCCTTCTTGAAGTGGAAAATCAATTCGGTAAAAAGATTAAAAGAATTAGAGACTTAAAAGTGATAAGAGCCGGGAGTATGAATCTCTAGGATTCAACTCTTTTGTTCAGTCTTTGGAAATTATTCATAAGACTACTCCACCATATTCACCTTCATCTAATGGCGTAGCTGAAAGAAAAAATAGAATGTTAATTGACTTGACGAATGCTATGCTTATTGATTCAGGTGCTCCCTCAAATCTTTGGGGCGAGGTTATTTTGATAGCTTGCCATGTGATAAATAGAGTGCACACAAAAACATAAAATTGTACCTTATGAGTTGTGGTGGGGGCATAAACCAAATCTAGGTTATTTGAGGGTTTGGGGTTGTTTAGCTTTTGTGAGACTTGCAGATCCTAAATGACCTAAATTGGGTGAACGAGCTACCACCTGTGCTTTTTCTTGGGTATGCATTGCATAGTACAGCTTATAGATTTTTTGTTATGGAAAATAATATTATTTTTTGAATCAGGTGATGCTATTTTTCATGAAAATAAATTTCCTTTCAAATCTAGAAATAGTGGGGGTCAAATAATTTCTGAAAATATTTATCTATGCCTAGCTCTTCTACTCCTTCTCAAGTTTTTCAAAGAAAAGAAAATTTTCAAATTCAACCAAGGAGGGTAAACGAGCTAGAGTTAAAAAGATTTTGGCCCTGACTATTATCTTTACAATGTGGAGAAATTCTCTTACAGTGCAAGAAGCTTTATTATCACCTGATGCTATTTTCTGAAGAGAGGCTGTAAATGATGAGATAGACTCACTACTTTCAAATAAAACATGGAAGCTAGTGGATTTACCTCCAAGTTATAAAACTATTGGTGTAAATGGGTCCTTCGTAAAAAACTTAAACCGGATGGAACTATAGATAAATATAAAGCGAGTTGTCGCTAAAAGTTTTAAACAACAAGTTGATCTTGATTTCTTTGATACTTTTTCTCCAGTTACTAGAGTTATATCCATTAGACTCTTGATTGCAGTGGCTGCAATTTATGATTAAATTCATCAAATGGATGTAAAAATAGCATTTTTAAATGGAGATCTAGATGAGGAGATTTACATGGACCAACCTGAAGGCTTTTGTGGAGCCTGGCCAAGAAAGCAAGGTGTGTAAGCTAACCTTTATGGTTTAAAATAAGCTTCTAAACAGATGCGTGAGAAATTTGATTCCTGCATGCTTGAGAATGGCTATAAGACTAATGAATGTGATAAGTGCATATATTATAAAACTTGTGAGAATGCACATGTGATTATTAGCCTATATGTGGATGATCTACTTATCTTTGGCTCTAATTTGCATATTATAAATGAGACTAAAAATATGCTTAATAGCCACTTTGATATGAAAGATCTTGGTGAAGCTAATTTTATTTTGGGAATTAAAGTTACCAAGACTGAGGATGGCATTTTTCTTGATCAGTCGCATTATGTTGAGAAAATTTTAAAGAAATATAATTTTCTAGACTGTAAACATGTTGCTACTCCTTTTGATGCAAGCATACACTTATCTGTTGTAACAAATGAAAAAGAAGTGATTAATCAAAAGGAATATGCTAGCATGATTGGTAGTTTGAGATATGCTACTGACTGTACTAAACCTGACATTGCATATGCTATTGGAGTACTTAGCAGGTTTACTAGCAAGCCAAGTTGAGATCATTGGCTAGCCATGGGAAGAATTATGAGATATTTATCTGGAACCAAAAATTATGATTTGCTTTAAAACAAGTATCCTGCGATACTTGAGGGATATAGTGATGCCGATTGGAATACTTTGTCAGGTGATTCTCTCTGTACCTCAAGTTTTATTTTTACCTTGGGTGGTGGTGCTATATGTTGGAAGCCTAAAAACAGACTATAATTGCTAATTCTATAATGGAAGCTGAGCTTATAGCGTTAGCTTCAGCATGTAAGGAAGCAAATTGGTTGAGAGATTTGTTACATGAAATTCCTTTTTGGAAAAACCAATTCCTCCTGTGTTAATTC